TCAGGCAATCCACTCACCTCAGCCTCCCAAAGGCGCGGGATTATAGGCTGAGCCACCGAACCCGGCTGATTTTTAAAAAATATATATAATCTTTATTGTTGATGAAGGGAGTTTCTGAGGACAAGACCATATTAATGACACTAGCATTTAGATTATATTATTAATGCCAATTGCAGACTTGTACCAGCATTCCCCTTTAACACCTGGTTAAAAAAAGATTTACATATTGAGGTATAATTACATATAATAAACAGCATTCATTTAAAGTGTATAGTGTGATGAGTTTTGACAGACAGGGGCATTGGTGAAATCACAGTCAAGGTTCAGAGCGTTTGCATCTCATCTTTCCTTGTATTCAGCCTCTTTCAACCTTAGTTGTAGGTGAGGCAGTCTCTTTCTGTTTTCTGTCGCTGTAGGTTTGCATTTTCTTGAATTTTGTGTGGATGAATTATATGTACTTGTTGCCTGACTTCTGTCATACAGTATAATGGTTTCAAAATCATCTTTGTTGCATTTATTAGAAACTTGTTACTTTTTATGTCTGAGCTGTATTCACTGAGTGAATATACCACATGTTGCTTATCTGTTCACCAGATGATGGACATTTGGGATGTTTGCAGTCTTTGGCAGTTATTAATAAAGTTGCCATGGATGTTGTGTTTGGTATAAATCTTAGGTACAAATCTTTGTATCGACACAGGTTTCTGCTTTTCTTGGGTAAATAGCTAGGATTACAATGTCTGGGTCACTTGATATAAGTATGTGTTTCATTTTTTAAGAAACTGCCTGGGCTGGGTGCGGTGGCGCACGCCTATAATTCCAGCACTTTGTGAGGCCGAGGTAAGAGGATTGCCTGAGCCCACGGGTTCGAGACGAGCCTTAGCAACTTGGCAAGACCTCATCTCTACAATAAATAAAAAAATTAACTGCGTGGTAGTGTGTGCCTGTAGTTCTAGCTACTTGGAAGACTGAAGTAGAAAGATCGCCTGAGCCCAGAAGGTCGAGGCTGTGGTGGCTGTGAGCATGCTACTGCACTCCAGCCTAGGCAACAGAGTGAGACTCCAACTAAAAAAAATAAAGAAAATAAAGAAACTGCCTGAAATTTCCCCCTAGTGATTGTTCCCATTTAACATTTCTTTTTTTTTTTTTGAGTCGGAGTCTCGCTCTGTCGCCCAGACTGGAGTGCAGTGGCCGCTCCCAGCCACTACAGCCTCGACCCGCTGGGCTCCGGTGATCCTTCCGCCTCAGCCTTCCGAGTAACTGGAACTACAGGCATGGCCCACCACACCCGGCTGATTTTTTGATTTCTTGTAGAGATGAGGTCTTGCCACGTTGCCTAGGTGGTTGGTCTGGAACCCATGGGCTCAGCCACTCCTCTCCCCTCGGCCTCCCAAAGTGCTGGGATTACAGGCGTGTGCCACCATGCCTCGCCCCATTTAACATTTCTACCAACAGTGTATGAGGATTGCAGCTTCTCCACATCCTCACAAACATGTGCCTGATCAGTCTTTTAAATTGTAGCCGTTGTAATGAGTGTATAGTGGGATCTCATTGTGGGTTTAATTTTCATTTTTTGATAATTAAGGATGTTAAGCAACTTTTTTCGTGCTTCTTACTCTTGCATATATTATTCTATAAAGTGTTTGTTCAGGGCAACTCCTCCTCCTGAAGGAGCTTTTCTGTCCTCTCAATAAATCCTACTTTCTCAAAATAAATAAAAATAAAAAAGTGTTTGTTCAAATCTTTTGCCCAGTTTTAAAAAAAGTTAGGTTATTTTATTGAGTTTTAACAGTTCTTCACATATTCTAGGTACAAGTCCTTTGCCAGATATGTGTATTGTGAATATATTCTGTGGCTAGCCTTTTTGTTTTCTTTTTTTTTTTTTGAGTTGGAGTCTCACTCCTTCGCCCAGGCTGGAGTGCACGCTCAGGCCACCCCAGCGTTGACTTGCTAGGCTCCAGCAGTCCTTCTGCCTCAGCCTTCTAAGTAGCTGGAACTATAGGCACGCTACCATGCTCGGCTATTTTTAATTTTATTGTAGAGATGAGGTCTCACCAAGTTGCCCAGGCTGGTCTCGAACCTGCGGGCTCAGGCAATCCACTCGCTTCTGCCTCCCAAAGTGCTGGGATTACAGACCGAGCCACTGAGCCCAGCCACCTTTTTGGTTTCTTAAAGGTATCTTTCAAAGAGCAAACATTTACCTGTTTTGAAGTAGTATAATGCATCAGTATTTCCTTTTACTTCATGCTTTCTGTGTTTTGCCTAAGAAATCTTTCCTATTCACTTAATCAATCTTCTTTGTTTTTTACTTCTTTATTTAATTTTAATTTTTAATTTTTTTAAAGATAGAGTCTCACTCTGTCACCCAGGCCAGAGTGCAGCAGCACGATCTTAGTTCACTACAGCCTCGATCTCCTGGGTTAAAGTCATCCTCCCGACTCAACCTCCAAAGTAGTGAGGACTGTGGATGTTCACACCACGCTCAGCTGGTTTTATTTTTTGTAGAGACTAGGCCTTACTTTGTTGCTGAGGCTGATCTCTAATGGCTTCAAGTAGTCCTTTCTCCTTGGCCTCCCAGAGTGCTGGGATTATAGGCATGAGCCGTTGCCTCCGGCTGTTGGTCTATTTTTTAGAGACAGGAACTTGCTCTGCTGCCCAGCTTGGAGTGCAGTGGCATGCTCACAACTTACTGCGGCCTTGAACTTCTGGGCTCAAGCGATCCTCCTGTCTCAGCCTCCTGAGTAGACGGAATTGCAGGTATGCGCCACCGTACTTGGCTCTAGCTAGTTTATTTCTATAGATTGTTCTTTGTTGCACTCTTGCAGGATTATCTATATACACAGAGAAGAATAGGTTGTAAAAGTTAACATTAAAAAGATATAGTCTTAAATATCAGGATCGCCTTCAGTTAAACGGAGTTAACAGGAAAATTTTCATTTCATGGTCTGCAGGAGAGTCACAGCCAACCTGGCAACTGGTTGTCTCATTAGTAATGTTCACCGAGCTATTTTATTGTTTTCTAAGTAGTTGAAGTGGTCTTGAATATGTTCTTAAAAAAGGGTTTAAGAAAAATAAATTTTTGTTTCCTAGCAGGTTTCATTTTTCTAGAACTTTATTTGAGAGATTTGTAAGTTAATGTGAAGATATAGTCAGTTGGTTTCTCACGAACTTCAAAGTAGTTTTATTTTTATTATGCTGTATATTCATTAGTTTATTGTTTTCTGTAGCCAGTCACTTTAGTTGATTGCATTTAGTTAATATCAACCCCCAGATGTGTTTATATATTTAACTGTATTTGCTCTGTAGTAGTATCTGGACTTTTAAAAATATATTGTGACTGTTTTAGAAAGGACCATTTTCTTCTTTTGGAAAAATTTATTCAAAGTTTGTGGATCAGAGATGTCTGCTGTGTGTGTGTGCTTTCATGTATGTCCTTTTGATTTGGTGTTTGATGAAAGCAATTCTTCATTTAAAATGCTTGTAATCTTTTAGTTTTAAAAGGAATCTATAGACAGTAGAGCCAGTTTTTAACCAATAAACCAATATATTGCATTTAAACTTTGAATTAGTGCTATATATTAGATTCTAATCAACTTAAATTGACAATTAAGTTATAAGAGGAAGCTTTTCAAGTTTTAAAAAAATGTAGTTATTTAATGAAATGACTGAAATGTTTTGATTGAGGGTTGGAATTTTAAGGTAAAATGTGGCTTCTGAAATGATGTATGTCAATTTTAAATCAAAGCCACTTTATTTTCTAGGTGTTCATTGTACTCATGGTTTCAATCGCACCGGTTTCCTCATATGTGCCTTTTTGGTGGAGAAAATGGATTGGAGGTACTTGTATCTTGTTATAATGGAATAAGATATGTTTTGTAATAAAAGTTTTGTTGATGTTTTTAGTCATAGAATTTTATATTGCCAAGTTTTTGGTGAACTCATGATTAATATAATTTGAAATGCTTTTCATCTTAGGTATGTTTAATCTTTAGACTAGTGCTACCTGGTGTTTTGTACTAAGTAGCACTTTAATTGGGTGCTTATGAGTCCTATAAACTATGTATTTACTTTCCAGGTTTTTTTCCTTAAGATTAGAAAATATAGTTTATTTAAAAACTAAATTTAGAAAGAGAGAGAGAGAAGAAGAAGAGGAGATTCACCCCCCCACCTGTAGGGGAGGGCGCCAAAGCTTAAGATAACATGGGCTGGCCATTGCTCAAAGAGCACATGGCCACACCAGAGTCTAGTAAGGCAGTGGCCCTTTACGTTTTTTTTTAAAAACACATCTTTCAGAATTATCAGAGACAGCTTCTTCTAATATTTTGTATTTGTATTCAGCTTTGGAAGTTACTATTATTGTTTTCCTTTTGAAAACAAGTTGTGTATCCCGTATCTGAAATGCTTTGGGAGTTCAGATTTGGATTTCTTTTAAAAAAATTTTTGAATATTTGCATTATACTTACTGTTTGAGCATCCTTAATCTGAGAATCCAAATTCTGAAAGGTGCCATTGAGCATTACCTTTGAAGGTCATGTCGGTACTCTTAAAATATTTTGAATTTTGGAACATTTAGAATTTCGGATTTTTGGACTAGGGGTACCAGACTGTAACATCTCTATTATAGCTGTTGAGTACTCGGAAAAGCTTATAATACTATATAAAGGAAGTATTTTGGGGACAGGATTATTCCGTTTAAACCAGCCATCATGTCTTTGTTGAGCACTTGTTATTTATGAAGTGTGGTTTCAGATTCTGAGATATTAGAACTTTAGTTGCCTGCTATTCCTAAGAGAGAATGTGCTGTCACTAACTGCATTTTCTTATTGACTCATTCAAGTTATTATTTACGTTTACAATGGCTTTCATACAGTAGGTCCTTTTTTGAATATAATCAGCTGAAGTACAGATCTGATTGTGCATTTTCCAGTACGCAGCCTGCATGTACTCTGTAGCTCTGGCCACTCAGATAGTCAGCACAGTGACCCCAGGCTCCTGTGTCAGGCAGGCACAGCCTATGCTTTCTTCTCTTTGATGACCTGTACTCTTAGTACCTGGGTCTGTTGGAGGTTCCTGTGAAATCAGCATGCTTTTGCTTTTGTTCACTGTGCTATTTACATTTCCTTGGCTGATGTTTTTGTGATAGAGTCAGACCTCAACCTTCAAAGCTTCATTTAAATTCTTCACAGACCCTACACAGATCTCTACACTCACAGCAATTTACTTTTAGAGTCAAGGAATTTTCAGTGTATCTTATATTAAAACTGTTTCAGAATGAATTTGTCCCTTAATAGATTGAATGCCTTAAGGGTGAGGACTGTGGCTTGTCTATTTTTTAAACTTCTATAATACTTTATATGGTGCTTTGAATATAATACAAGAGTTTTGATAAGTCTGCATTAATGGAGAATAGTGAGGAAATTGCATGGTGTTTGTTTCCCAATAGTATTGAAGCAGCAGTTGCAACTTTTGCCCAAGCCAGACCTCCAGGAATCTATAAGGGTGATTATTTGAAGGAACTTTTTCGTCGCTATGGGGATATAGAGGAAGCACCACCCCCACCTCTACTGCCAGACTGGTGTTTTGAGGATGAGGAAGACGAAGACGAGGATGAAGATGGTAAAAAGGAATCAGAACCCGGGTCAAGTGCTTCCTTTGGCAAGAGGAGAAAGGAGCGGTTAAAACTGGTAATGTTTAAGAGTATTATAATAGTCTTTTTAAAAATTTATATTTTATTATAAAGATGTAGGGTACACATATACATTTCTTGCTGCACTAGTCACAGTAGCAAAAACAGGGAACCAATTACTGCTGACCATTGAAAGTAGACTGGATAAAGAAAATGTGGCATATTCACATGGTGGAATATTACGACAGCCGCAAAGTAGGACAAAATCATGGACTTCGCAGCATGAAGTCCATGATTTTAACGTTTTGGCCAACTCTCTCTCATGGCTGCAGAATTAGTCTAAATAAACTGGCTTGCCATTGCCAAAAGCAGAGCTCTTTCTCCCTTTTTGGGGAAAGCAGTTAGGCTTGGTTTCTAACTGACAGTGAGGAGATGGTGATTTTTGAGAATATTTGTACCTATTCCTCCAAAGGCATGTTGGTTTTAGAGTGCTGGAGGTACTTGATCAATGTGAGCCGTGTTGAATCAAAAGGTAGAGGGCCTGGAATGATGGTATGGCCATAGAACAGGCTGTCCAAGTTGAGCCAAGATGAGGTCATTGAAAATTACTGAACCATGAAGATTGTTGGATGGTTTAGGTTATATTAAGGGATGTTGATATTCCTAGTATAATGATGGAAGTTAGAATGGTGAGAAACACTGACTGTCTTAGATGAATATGGGACAGTATTCTTCAGTACACAAAGAACAGAAAGTTTTATTAGTTTAAATTATTTGACTGTAAGCAACAGAAACAAAACCAACCTAGCTTAAATGATCAGGGGATTCTATCATGAGCAAGTTGATGCAACTCAGTCACAGTAAGTATAGCCGGATTTCCATACAGTCTTGGAGCCTAGACCTGGACAGTTACTATAACCCAGTTTCTGGTACTACTTCTTAATTTCTTGTCTCTGCTTTTTTCCATTTATTTATCTTTGTTTTTTGAGTTGAAGTCTTACTGTGTTGCCCAGGCTGAAGTGCAGTAGCATGATCACAGCTCACCACAGCCTCAACCTCCTTAATTCAGGCAGTCCTTCTGCCTCTGCCTCCCAAGTAGCTGGGACTACAGGTGTGTGCCACCACGTCCAGCTAATTTTTTTTTTTTGAAAAGAAATTTTTTTTTTTGGTAGAGATGAAGTCTCACTATGTTGCCCAGTCTGTCTCCCTTTATTTGTATCATCTTTTCATTATCTTTGTCTCTCAAGACGGGCTCTTTTTGATTCCTTATTTTCCTGGGAGATTGTGACTGTCCCAGAGCTTTTACGATAACTTATAATTTTAGCCATGTTTGGAGACTAACTGCCTATCTGTGACTCTCAATTTCAAATTACCAGGGGAGAGAATCTTATGGCTTCAGATTGAGTTAGGGGTTCATTCATGCTCCCATCAACTTGGCTGGAGTGGGATATTAAATTACAATGTCATTTAACATGGCTACTAGGCTTCATGGGTGGGGAGGGAAGCTCTTTATTTTATTTTATTTTTTGAGTTGGAGTCTCACTGTGTGGCCCAGGCTGGAGTGCACAGGCATGCTCATGGCCACCACAGCCTCCACCTACTGGGCTCCCGCGATCCTCCGCCTCAGCCTTTCAACCATGACTGGCTAATTTCTTGATTTATTGTAGAGATGAGATCTCACCAAGCTGCCCAGGCCGTTCTCGAACTGTGGGCTCAGGCAGTCCTCTCATCTCAGCCTCCCAGAGTGCTGGGATTATGGGTGTGAGCCCCGACGCCCAAGGGACGCTCTTAAAGAGACAGTGGGTGCCTGTGTTACCACAACTGAGTGCTGTGGTTGAGTGCGGATGGTGTAAACGGAAGAGGGCTTTGGAAGGAGGCTGGAAAGTAGCGCGGATGTGGAGCAGCTGGACCTTCCCGGTGGAGCTTGGGTGTGGGAGGAGAAGTTGCAGGAGAGAAGAGCTGGCTTTCAGGCAAGACCGAAGGTTGGGCCGTTCGAGACAGAGGTGGAGCTTGTGGGGAAGGCTGTTCATGAACAAGGCATTTAGGGTTGACCCTGGCACTCTTGGGGAAGGTGATTATTGACAAGATGAGCCGAGGGAAAGGGACTCCCGGACAGTGAGGACAAGACATCAGGGAGGAAGGGTGGCAGGAGAGTTGAACTGTGGCTAAACCTGTTGTTGACAGAGGTGGAAGCTTGATGTAATGGATTTGTTCAGTTCATGGTTGGGAAAGCTTTCCTTTTCTTTCATTTCCATCTGAGGTCGAAGAAAAAGTTGACTGAGGCCACCCAAAAGTGATTAGTTCTTTTGTAGCTAACATTTCTTGACATAATGAAGTTATGAGTCAGTGAGACTTTATTTTTGTTAAGTAGAATTATCCTTTTCTGACTCCTACATTGATACAACTATGAATTGAAGTGCTGGACACCTTGTAGTGAATTCTGGTAGCTCTCTTTGGGTTTATAACACTAGTACATCTCTTGTGCTTGGCTCTCTCATTACTAAGACATCTTCTTTATTTGTGTTTTGAGCACATGCCATTACTGAGTTGGGAGAGATGACTTATTAGTATGTCACTTGCTCCTTTGAATTGATGTCTGAGATAATTTCTTTGAATAAAACCATTAATGGGCCAGGTGTGGCAGCTGATACCTGTCATCTCAACACTTTGGGAGGCCGAGACAGGAGGATAGCTTGAGCCCAGGAGTTTGAGACCAGCTTGGTCAACATAGCGAGACCTTGTCTTTGCAAACAAATAAAAACATTAGCCAGACATGGTGACGTGTGCCTATAGTGCCAGTTATTTGGGAGACAGAAACGGAAGGACAGCCTTAGCCATGAAGGTGGAGGCTATGGTGAGCCATGGTTGTACCACTGTACTCCAGCCTGGACAATAGATTGAGACCCTGACTTAAAAAGAGAGCAACACAAACTATGAACGTATTTTCCTCATTGGGAAAACATGCCGATACACGTCCAAGGGGAGAGCCTCTGAAAACCTGGGATTGCCTTTCGGAGGGCAGGCCCCTTGCGGTGCGTGCTTCCCTGCCAGGTGAGTCTTCTAGGAACTCATTGACATCTGTGTGCCAGCTAGCGTCGCTGCGAGGAGCTGTGTTTGGCTTTAGTGAATTTTGTTTTGGAAATTCTTTTAGCGTGTTTGCCCGTTCTGTGATGGGTAATTTATGTGAACAACCTGCCCACACTGCTAAGCAGCTTTTACCAAAACCAGCCTGATCCCTATGCTTCACCCTCCCTACTCACCTGACCTTGCCCCGAACGTCTTTTTTTGTTTGCTTCTCGGATGAGAAAAGTCCTTAAAGGGAAACATTTTGCCAATGTGGAAGAAGTGAAACACAAAAACAGCAGAAGGACTAGAAGGCATCCAAATTGACGCGTTCAGAAACTGTTTTGAGCAGTGGCAAAAGCCTCTCGATTGGTGTATTGCATCAAATGGAAAGTACTTTGAAGGTGACTGAAGTTTAAACATTTTTGTTTATAGCACTGTGTCCCTCCCTTATACGAACTTGTACACACTCTCTTTACACACACACACAGTTCCCATTTTTAAATTGCCCTCATTTTATGTAATAATTTCCGATATTCCCCTCTAAATGATCTGTTACTTCTTTTTTGCCTGCTTGTGATACTCATACTGATTTTAATTTTAAGACTGGAAGATTCTTTTTATGAGATACACTTCTTCTATTTGACTCATGTATTATCTTTTTTACTTTTGACTTTTCTTTATTCTCACAAATGGTATTAATAATTTTTGAAAAGTGCAAATACATGTCAGTGACTTAAAAACTCAATTATTATATGCTTAAAAGTAGTTCCAGACCTGACATTGCTGTTTGTAATTTAGAATTAGTGATCTTTCTTGGAGTTGTTACATAATTTTTAATACTGTAAAAATGCTGTTTTATCAGAGAAAACTTTTGTAATGACATTAAATAGTAAATTCTGTTAGTGTAATGTTATCCAATATTATTTGTGTATGAAGTATACCATACTTCTTTCATTGGGTTTATTTCTATTTTTCTTTTTACTTAATATTGTGGAAGAAAATAGGGGAACTAAAAAAGGTAAAGAAATTGATGTATTGTAGGAAAGGTGAAAGAAGAAGATAAATAAATGAACAATATTTAATAGGTGATTGCGGTTAATTTTTATAATCAAACTCAATAGTTGTTAAATCTGTTTTGATGCTCAATGTGTATTGGCTCTATGATATTAAAAATATTCGGTTTGTTCAACTGTATAGAAATATTATTAAAATATTTAGCCGGGCTCAGTGGCTCAGCCTGTAATCCCGCGCCTTTGGGAGGCTGAGGTGAATGGACTGCCTGAGCCTGTGGGTTCGAGACCCGCCTGGGCAACTTGGCAAGACCTCATCTCTACAATAAATCAAAAACTAGCCGGGCGTGGTAGCGCGCGCCTGTGATTCCAGCTACTCGGAAGCCTGAGGCGGAAGGATCGCCGGAACCAGCAGGTCGAGGCTGCGGTGGCCGGGAGCGGCCACTGTACTCTAGTCTGGGCGACAGAGTGAGACTCCAACTCAAAAAAAAAAAAAAAAAATTTATCAGTCCTTTTTACTGCTTATTTAAAAAGAAATAATGCTTGTGTTTTTAGGACGAACTTTTGCTAGTTTGGGCTTTGCTTTTATGTTGCCCTTTTCAGAAATTATCATATATTTTAAAATTTTGCTTAACATTGCTTAGAAAATATATCTTTGTAAGTGAAGCTAGATACTTTTATCATGTAAAACCTAAAAAGAAAGTCTCCTCTGCTGTTAATACTGTCAGAATAAAGATGCTGAATATAGAACTCTCTAAAAAGGCGTGTTCTCTTAAATTAGCATCTAAATATGATTTTATAAGAATGTGAAAATTATTTGAGTATTCTCAATAACTAAATCTGTTACAAACCTCATCTATAGCTGGGCTCGGTGGCTCAGCCTGTAATCCCATGCTTTGGGAGGCTGAGGTGAGTGGATTGCTTGAGCCCGCGGATTCGAGACCCGCCTGGGCAACTTGGCAAGACCTCGTCTCTACAATAAATCAAAAAATTAGCTGGGCATGGTAGTGCACGCCTGTAGTTCCAGCTACTTGGTAGGCTAAGGCGGAAGGATCGCTGGAGCCCAGCATGTCTAGGCTGCGGTGGCCAGGAGTGGCCACTGCACTTCAGTCTGGGTGATGGAGTGAGACTCCAACTCAAAAAAAAAACACCTCATCTACTTGTTTGAGCTTTCCTTTGAAAATACTCTTTTTTCCTCTTTCGTTATACTTAAAGATAAAAGTAGTTTTAAACATAAATTTCCTTACTTAATACAGATAGGTAATGGTATAATAGGAGAGGGATGGTACTGTGTTCCTTTGGCTCATGAATTCCTTAAATTATGGCTATTTAAAGAAAACAAAGTAGAAGACAGATTAGATTAATTACAAAAAGGGATTTGGACTTAGGGGCAAAAAGTAGGATCAGTGTCTTCTGGGAAGACTCAGGAGTCTTCTGGGTTTGACAAGGATGTATGTGCACTCAATATTTTTTTTTTTTTGAGTTGGAGTCTCACTCTGTCACCCAGACTGGAGGGCAGTGGCCGCTCCCGGCCACCACAGCCTCCACCTGCTGGGCTCTGGCGATCCTTCTGCCTCAGCCTTCCAAGTAGCTGGAACTACAGGCGCGCGCTACCATGCCCGGCTAATTTTTGATTTATTGTAGAGATGAGGTCTCGCCAAGTTGCCCAGGCGGGTCTCTAACCCACGGGCTTAGGCAATCCACTCACCTCAGCCTCCCAAAGGCGCGGGATTACAGGCTGAGCCACCGAGCCCAGCTTACACTCAATATTAAGTGTTCGTTTTCCCTTCTCAAATGACTCAAGTTGCCAAGTCTTTGCCGGAAGGTTGAATATTATAGCTTGTAGACCATATTTTTTATTCCCTAATTACATTAACAGCTAGAGTTGTTTCATGGATTTTTCTTGAGACTGATGCCAGCCCTCTTAAGGGTCTGAAAGTAATTGTAGCATACATCCAAACTTTTTTTGAGTCTTTAAAATTTCTAGGAGTGTTCCTTATTTGTTTGAGATATAAATTCTCCATCTGGTTTCCTTCTCTGTATATTTCAAAAATATGCTTGCTGCAAAATACAATAAGATACTCTGTGTAGTTTTGAGTTAAACAATTTAGATTAAAAGTTCAGTGATGCACAATATTTAGTTTTATGTTGATACACCCAATGACTGTGGCTTAGTCACTTTACTTACTGTTACACTTATCCCTTTAAGATCCATACTCCACCCACAGTGGCACAGTTCCTTTTTTCCCTTGTCCCTACTAATAAATTGTATAGTATAGACCTAGGTTCAAACTCTGTCTTTTATGGTCTGATTAAATACATAAAATCTTTGTGCTTATTTAGTCATCTATGAGATAAATATAATATAATCTATTTTTCAGAGTTGTAAGGATTAGAGAGGATGTTTGTGAAATTCTTGGCTCTCAGAAACAGTCCATAAATGATTAGTACTGTTACGATTTGGGAAGTGGTTGTAAAGTGCTTTGACAGCATGATGTATTCACTGAGCTCTGTGTATATATTGAAAATCAAATGCTGGATTAAGCAAAGTGGATCTGCAGTCATAGGGGAGTTTATAGACCCTTGTGGAGCAGACCATCTCTGGTATATTGACTTGTTCAGATTTGTGAAAATGAACTAATTTATGTCTTAGTGTTTTCTTTGTAAATGGATTTGAACTTTAATAAAATCTTTTTTTTTTTTTCTTAAAGGGTGCTATTTTCTTGGAAGGTGTAACTGTTAAAGGTGTAACTCAAGTAACAACTCAACCAAAGTTAGGAGAAGTACAGCAGAAGTGTCATCAATTCTGTGGCTGGGAAGGGTAATAAATATTTTAAAGTTTTAAATAAATTGTATTCTTACTCTGTAACATTTAAAATTAATACAAGCATTGACATAGCGTCTTTGTTCCTTGAAGTTAGTTATATAGAGTACTTAAAAAGATGTCAGATTTTTATAAAGACAGCGCAATAACCAGACAGTTGAGACAAAATTGGATGACTCACATGTCTTCCTAAAGTAACAAAAAATTACTGTTGTCACTGTCTAGTATTTGTTTCATGCCTTTGACTCTGTTGCTGCTGGTTAATGTTTGGGTTGGTTGCATCAATTTATTAAGGGAGAAGAGGCGAAACTTGAATATGCCTCATTTTCTAGTTTTTCTGTAATCAGAAGCCTGGGAAGAACAGCTTTAAATATATTCTGCACCCTACCATGGTTTGAAAATACTTATCAGACATTTCATGGAGAAGGAGTTAGGAGATAATTCATTGCTCTTATCTGTTTCTCTCAGGTCTTGGTCTGTTGCTCGTTGGTATTTAGTGGCAGAAGATTGTCATATAGCTTGAACACAAGGAAATGGGATTATTAATTGTTAAACATTCCTATTATAATTTCTATTATAAAGAACTTTTATTACTGGTGCATAAATTCCAGATAAGTCAATTAGAAATAATTTTAACTAAAAGAGGAAAGTAATGAAGGAATATTATTGGTTTTACTGCTGTGTTAAATCCTTGCCAGGACACCTTAATATTGACCTGCATTTCTCCTGTTTTGTTACTTCTGGGCATCTTTTGAGCAGAAAATTGCCAACCCTGCAGTAATGTCAAGTTAGCAGTATCATGATGGAGAAATATGGGGTCTAGAATAATGTCAGGTAATTAAGCAAAGATTTAAACTTCTTCCTGAAGTACAAGACTTGTAAACACACTTGCTTTTTTGTTGAGATCAGTGATCCCCAGCCTTTTTGGCCTTAGGGACTGGTTTCGTGGAAGACAGTTTTTCCATGGAGTGGGGGTGGGAGAGGATCATTGGGCATTAGATTCCTATAAGGAGCATGCAACCTAGATCCCTCGCATGTGCAGTTCACAACAGGGTTTGTGCTCCTGTGAGAATCTAATGCTGCTGCCTCGCTGGCCGCTCACCTGTGACTGTGCGACCCAATTCCACGAACCGGTGCCAGTCCATGTCCTTGGGGATTGGGGACCCCTGATTTAGATCATGTATTTATATCATATATTTTTAAATTAGCCCAGTAATTATGGTATAGCAATAGCCATTTAACTTGCAACCTTATTAACTTGCATTCTAAAGTGTCAAGGAAATGATAACCTTTTGTTAGCATGTTTGTGAAAGCTGATATTTTTCCAGTTGACATTAGTCTCATGATCGGGAGAACATTGTGATAAATGCGTGATTCATTTGAGGTTGGTTTAAGATATGTATTGCTTTGCATGGATACCAGCCATGGTAGTAATAAAATGTTCTTCTTTAAGGTCTGGATTCCCTGGAGCACAGCCTGTTTCCATGGACAAGCAAAATATTAAACTTTTGGAGCAGAATCCATATAAAGTAAGCTGGAAAGCAGATGGTACTCGGTAAGTTACATTTCAGGAAAATAAAAAATTATACAAATAACCGTAATGCCTGAAGAATATTGCTTTGTTGTTAGAGAACGTTTGCACCCTTGGGAGTGTGAATTTCTGACTTGAAAAGCAAAATAAGCATGTTTCAAAACTGTTACATCGTTTTTGTTTTGCTAGTATTCTAGCTATGCAGTACAGTTAACACTCATTCTGCTAAATTTTTGGTTTCAGGGTTCAGTTACTTTAACATAAATCTATAACCAAATGTTTGTTTTCTCTTAATAATATTGTTTTCTTTTTTGATATGACTGTTGCATATGGTTACTTTGGGATGTTGGACATGTTAAAGTTAATAGACAAATGGTCAGTTTACATTTATTTATTTATATATTTGTCAGAGTCTCACTCTGTTGCCCAGGCTGGAGTGCAGTGGCATGCTCACAGCTACGGTAGCCTCTACCTTCTGGATGATCAGGTGATCCTTCTGCCTCTACCTTCCCAGTAGATGGAATCACAGGTGTGAGCCACTATGCCCAGCTAATTTTTTTGATTTATTGTAGAGACGGGTCTCACCAAGTTGCTCAGGCTGGTCTTAAACCCCTGTGCTCAGGCAATCCTCTCACCTCGGCCTCCCAAAGTGCTGGGAGTGCAGGTGTGAGCCACTGTGCCCGGCTTTTATATATATATAATTTTTATATATGATTTTTTTTGAGAAAGCGGGAGTGGACCGAAGGGGTTGCCCTGGCGTTATATTTTTAGTTGAGAAAGAGTCTCACTCTATTATCCAGACCAGAGTGAAGTGGAATTGTCTGCACTCTCTGCAGCCTCAAACTCCTGAGCTTGAGTGAGCCTCCCACCTCAGCCTCTTGAGGAGTTAGGATTACAAGTGTGTACCACTGTGCCTGGCTAAATATTTTGTTGACTTGAGTTCTTGCTGTGTGGCCTAGGCTGGTCTTGAACTCCTAGCTTCAAGCGATGCTCTGTGGCCTCAGCCTCCCAAAGCAGAGGTATTACAGGTGTGAGTTACTGTGCCCAGCCAAGGTATCAGTTTATAAACTAAAATCTCCCTGATTTATTCTGTATTTTATTACTTTGAATAGTTTCCCTTATTCTCTTAATTCTTGCTAATACTTTTTTGTAATTTCATATACTGTTCGTTGTATTCTTACAACAAAGCTTAACTTCAAATGACATATTTTTTTGTGCTTCCTCAATAACATTTCACTTTTTTCCCTTTTTGTAATCTATATTTTTTTCCTCCATTGCAGCTTTGCCATATGCTTTTATTCATTTAGCAGATGGTGTAATAGCTGAAGTATTTTAACAGATTAATGTGGAAGTTGTATTAATTTTTTTATAATAAAGTGTTTTAGATTAATTAGAAGTACATTATATACATCTTAAAATGTTATTTTGAAAATGACATAGGTTACCTTTAATTTTATGAGTTTTTGAATGTCTAAGTGACAACTATACCCTTTGTATCATACTATCCTCATCTGTATTTAATTTGCATTTACCTTAAAAGATTCATACAGGCGTGGTGGCTCATATCTGTAATCCCAGCACTTTGGGAGGTAGAGGCGAGAGGATTGCCTGAGCCTGAGTGTTTGGGACCAGACTGGGCAACTTGGCAAGACTTCGTCTCTACTATAAATAAAAAAATTAGCTAGTTGTGATGGTGTGCGCCTATGGTTCTAGCTACTTGGAAGGCTGAGGCGCAAGCATCGCCTGAACCTAGGAGGCTGAGAATGTGGTGGCTGGGAGCGTGCCACTGCCCTCTAGCCTGGGTGACAGTGAGATTCCAACTAAAAAAAAAACCAAACAAACAAAGCAAAACAAAAACAAAAGATTCATATGGAGACATGAAGGGGGCACATGCAACTTGAATTCATCATTAGGTGAATGTAATACTATGGTATTATATATACAAAATTCAGTCTAGAAATAAAATGAGCAACTTAAGTTTGCCTTGTGTGCTTGCAGGAGTTATGCAAGGGTAGATATAGTTATAGATACAGATTTAGATAATTTGGGTCATTTACCCCTCTGTGCCTCCTCCTGGTAGATAATGTGTTTCTGAAGGATTGGCCTTACTGGTTATTTTCAGAATGTTAAAATGATACTTATTTAATTTTTTGGGTTAGATTATGTTCAGAGTCTGTTAAATTGCTAGTAAGAATTAGCAGATGTCAGGGATGTTGTTGAGACATATATTTTTCAGAGATATAGCATAGTGTCTTTACAGATAGGCTTATTACCATAATACTTTTGAGTAGAGAAAGAGTGGAAAAGGTGAGGACCAGGCTGTTTGTCTCTAGGTTTTACACTGCAAAATAGATTGGGGATGTGGGTTTGAGGCATAGATTGAACTGCTGATGAGTTGCATATTTTAGGTACTCTTTGCTTTCTATATTGCCTTATTCACAGTATCCTAGTAAACCTTGAGCCAAGTAATAAAGCCTGTAAAATTTGTTACTTGTTTCTGCCTTTCTACTTTAATTTTCCCTCTGTAGTTGTGTGCCCATTACTCTGTGTCTCAGTACTGTCACAGCCTTAGGTAATCATCTAAGTAGTTTGAGATAAGATGTTTTTGATTGACAATGGAAATATCCTATTTCTTGTAGAATCATACTCGACTAAAACCAAAACGAAAAGCCCTGAGAATTTATTGACTGTCTACTCTGTTTTAGGATACTTTCTTCTAGGAAGAAAAAAATTTATGCAAGGTGTTTTCTGGACCAGTGCAAAATCTGTCTTTTGCATAGTAGTCTTGAAATCCAATAGCATAGGAGAGGGTCTATGACTTCTGGGGTGAAGTGAATCTGAGGGGGCTGTAGGATGGGCTTGAATGTGAACTCAGAACAGCTGATTAAGAGTTGTGAGCTCCAGACTCCGTTGTCTGTCTGTCTTTATTAATTTATTTATTTTGAGTCAGGCGAAGTATCACTTTGTTGCCCAGGCTGGAGTGCGGTTGGACACTCCTGGCTACTGCAGCCTCAACCCGCTGGGCTCAGGTGATCCCTCCGCCTCAGCCTTCCAAGTAGTGGAACCATAGGCATGTACCACCATGCTCGGCTAATATTTTGATTTATTACAGAGATGAGGTCTTGCCAAGTTGCCCAGGCTGGTCTTGAATCCCTGGGCTCAGGCCTCCCAAAGTGCTGGAATTACAGGCATGAGCCATGGCACTCGGCTCCACGGTGTTTAAAGTCTTGTCAGTATAGAGTGCTGGTTCTCTTTTTATTATCTCAATTCATAACTTAGTGGCCATTCGTTGTATCTAGTAACATTTTTTGACTCCAACGATCTTTCAAATTGAGTGTGATTGAAGACCTGGATGTAGTTAGCAGTAAAAGGAATTTTGCACTAGTCTGGCCAAGTCCTAAAGATAACAGTGAGTAGAGTGACAATTTTGACAGGAAATCCTATTTTAATTCTAAAACATTGCGGACTAGAGATTATTTCCTAAATGTAAAGCCAAATAATATAAACAGATAGCTACAGTACAATGGTCAAAATCAAGAAATTAACATTGATACTATCTGGCTACTGACCTTATTCAAATTTCACTAAAAATCTCAGTGTCCTTTTTCTGGGCCAAAACTTAATCCAGGATCACAGGTTTCATTAGGTTATGTCTTCCTTTCCTTTTTGGGGAACAATTCCAATTCCCTAGGCTTTGTTTTTCTTTTTTTAAATTTTTTAACTTTTTAATTTTATTTTTTTGTAGAGGCAGTCTCATTATGTTGCCCAGGCTAGTCTCTAACTTCTGGCCTCAAGTGATCCTACTGCCTTGGCCTCCGCAAGTGTTGGGATTACAAGGATGAGCCACTATGCCTGGCCAGTTTCAAGACTTTCTTTCATGACTTTGACACTTTGGAAAACCATTGGCCAGTTGCCTTGTAGCTTGTCTCTAAGTTGAATTTGATGCCTCCTCATGATTCAGGTTATTCAGTTTGACAAGAACATCACAGAAGTAATATTGTGTGTGTCATTTCAGAAGGCACATGATGTTGAATTGTTCCATTGTTAACTTTGTCTCTTGGTTAAGTTGGTGTCTATAAGATTGTCCATGATTAAGTTGCCATTTTTCTCTTTGTACTTAATAAAAATCTTGTGGGGGAGATATTCTGAGACTATGCAAATATCCTGTTTCTTGTACATTTTCCCACTCATTTTAACATTCATTGATGATTCTTTTTTTTTTTTGAGTTGGAGTCTCACTCGGTCACCCAGACTGGAGTGCAGTGGCCGCTCCTGGCCACCGCAGCCTCGCCTGCTGGGCTCCGGCGACCCTTCCACCTGAGCCTTCTGAGTAGCTGGAATTACAGGCATGCGCTACCATGCCCGGCTGATTTTTTTTTGATTTATTGTAGAGATGAGGTCTTGCTGCCCAGGCGGGTCTCGAACCCGCGGGCTCAGGCAATCCACTCACCTCAGCCTCCCAAAGGCGCGGGATTACAGGCTGAGCCACCGAGCCCGGCTCATTGATGATTCTTACCTGAAAGTTAACAGTGTATTGTTTGCTAAGTAGAATAGTGGAATTCATCTGTAAGGAAGAACTTTTTTTGTTTTTGTTTTTGAGTAAGGATCTCACTCTATTGCCCAGGTTGAAGTGCATTGACACAATCACGGCTCACCACAGCCCTCATCTTGTGGGCTCAGATGCTTCTTCTGCCTCAGCCTCCTGAGTATCTGGGACTACAAACACATGCCACCACATGTGGCTAATTTTATTTTATTTATTTTTAATTTTTTTCTCTTACAAACCCTTGTGTTGAGGGCTGACTTTCAGTAGATGGCAGTGAAGGAGCTGCTCTGCTACCTTCGAAACCCCAACCCAGAACCCGGTTGTCTGTGAATGGTTTAGCACCAGGTTCTCCATGCATGGATAATTAAAAAAAATTTTTTGTGGAGTGCGATGAGGCCTTGCTGTGTTGCCCGGGCTGGTCTTAAACCCCTGGGCTCAAGCAGTCCTCCCATCTCAGCCTCGCAAAGTTCTGGGATTC